CTTTATATCCTGGGGATTACGGGCAGCTGGCCCCACATCTGCCCTCCTCATTTCAGGAGACGGATCCAGTGATATCCCCAGGCATCCGTGCTGCTTGACATCCATCCATCCATCCATCATCCATCCATCCATCCATCCATCCATCATCCATCCATCCATCATCCATCCATCCATCCATCCATCCATCATCCATCCATCCATCATCCATCCATCCATCATCCATCCATCCATCCATCATCCATCCACCCATCCATCCATCCATCCATCCATCATCCATCCATCATCCATCCATCATCCATCCATCCATCATCCATCCACCCATCCATCATCCATCCATCCATCATCCATCCATCCATCCACCCATCCATCATCCATCCACCCATCCATCATCCATCCATCATCCATCCATCCATCATCCATCCATCCATCATCCATCCATCCATCCATCCATCATCCATCCATCCATCCATCATCCATCCACTCCATCCATCATCCATCCATCATCCATCCATCCATCCATCCATCATCCATCCATCCATCATCCATCCATCATCCATCCATCATCCATCCATCCATCATCCATCCATCATCCATCCATCCACCCATCATCCATCCATCTGTCTTTTGGGAGCTGGAGATCTGCTCTTCTCCACAGGTCAAGGAATGGCGCAGTCACTCGAAAGTGCCACCTCTGGAAGGAAGGGAAATGTCTGCTGCTAAATCAGGGCTCCTGCACCCCCTGCCAAAGCACCACATCTGGTTCCTGGCAACTGAAGGAGGGGAAGTTATGATCTTCACTTAGGGACTCTCCTCTTAGCCAAGTTAGGACAGAAATTCTGCAGCACTATCAAGTTTAAGCACCAAAATTGGGCTTTAGGTTGCTGTCTTTGCCTCAGTGCTGCTTGGCCTGCAAGGCAGTGAATCCTGCAGGTCCTGGGTGGGGTATGAGACACAGCTGGAGGCCTTTGATACAGGAAGGAGGTTTTATCTGATCAAATTGAGACATGTAATTCCAAGTGAGTTCCCTGAGGCTTCATTTACAGTCACTGGAGAGGAACTCATGTCTCCAGGGCACAAAGTCATCCTACGGCAGAATCTGAGAGAAGACAGATGAATAGTTATGTAAAAAGTGCCCTTATTTCTCTCCACTGACTGCAACTCTACATTGCAGATGTTTTAAGTCCAGCAAGATTATTTATAACCAAACTGGACCACAAGTATCTTCCCTTCTTCCTTTTTCCCTGGATGGATGTTTGGCTGACGCTGAGATTCGTTCTCTGCCTGCGTTCAGTCACATATTCAGCAGGGTGCAGGTATTCAACACCAACAACCAAGGAAGCAAGACCATTAAACTCTGACCTTTCTCACCATGGTTTGCATATTCCCTTAACCCACAGCATCTCACAAACAGGCAGAGGCTCTCCTGGAGAAGCAGCTTGGCTTTTACTGACCAGCGAGGAAGAGATCAGAAGCACCTCTCACACCTCCCTAATCCCAGACCTGCAGCAAATTGACTTTTTTAAAGACCTGCCTACCCCATCCCACCCTGCAAACAATGCACTGTACTTGCAGCTTCCAATTTAAGGTATTGCTCCTGACCATTTCGAGCCACACAGGGCCAATGTGAATACTCTTTCTGATGGACTGACAAGAGCAATCCCTAGGATCTGTGACAGCAGCCAGCCTGGCAGGTTTTCTCCTCCCCTCCCCGCTGTACCTGTTTGGATAGGTGACATTGGGCGGCGCTCTCCCGGGGTAGTTCTCGTTGAGCCATCGGTTTGCCAGGGCCTGCTGGATGTTTGGTCTCTTTGCGGGGTCTGGCTCCAGCAGGGAGCGCAGGAAGGTGATGGCCGCTGTGGAGAGATGGAGGGAAAAGCCCAAACAAGAGCTCTGTCAGTGCCTTTAGGACTCGCCCAGGAGAAGAGTTACTGCAGGTGTGCGGCCCGAGCAAGAGCAAGCTAAAAAGGAACATTCTCCTTTCTGCATGCTCCAATGTCCTTGAGGAAATGGAAGAACTGATAAGGGATTAGTAACTAAAACAAACAGTGATTTACGGTCACAATGATTTATAGAGTTATAAAGGAGAGGGGGAAAAGTGCTTTTTGTCTCAGAACTCATCTGAGGTTTCAGAGCAGGTGAGCCAACATTTAATTCCCACATGAGGGCAAGAGGCTGGAGCCAGGCCAGAGACAAATCACTGTGCTCAAAGCAGAAGGAGATGGACCAGGGGTGAGTGAAGGGAGGGAAGGGATGCAGACCTGGGAAGGAAGTCACAGCAAATTAGGCTCCTTTTGACATTATAAGGATAAATTCTCTGGCTTCCATCCAATCTACAGTCGGCTGCAGAATGTTTTAGCCAAATTAAAAGAGCATAGCAAAATTAGCAGGCTTTGCTTTGTTCTCCCAAACCTTCAACTTTCAGTGACACTCAACCACTCCTCCTGAGGCTCTTGCAAAAATGCTCAGTTTTTAAGCCATGTGCTTCTTACATGATTAGGAGCAATGAAATCAAATGATCTGCCCAAAATCTCACAAGAAGTGCCCCCCTGAGCTGAAAATAAACTCTGCTTCAACTAGGTCTGGTCCTTATTCCTTGAATTAGCAACGCTAGATTTCACTGCTCCCACATGCAATTTAAAGAGGATAAAACACCTTTTGGTGACACCACAGTGGATGGGACAGGATGGGCTGGTGCACCAGGGAGGGTAGATGATGAGGAAGGGGGGGTTTCTCCTGAAATAAATCAGGGTTAGACCCAACAGGTACCAATTCCCAACAACCTGAGCAACCTCAATGTACAATACCCTGCAAAAATCACCTTTCAGCTGGAGAAAGGGCCCTCTCTGTGTCAAGAACCTTATATGTGCAAGAGAGACTTATTACTCTGTATTTACCAGTCCAGCTGGGTTTTTGCTCATCTCTCTCTTCACAAACCGCTGACTTATGTGAGATGCTTTATTTAAACATTCTCCAGTATTTTTTGTTATTATCCTACAGCAGCCATGTTGTGGGAGCAGCAGGAAGAGCCTACATCCGAGCTCCCAAACTTGCTGGAAGCTGCTCTCTGTGTGCCTGGTGTGCCCTTTCTTCATCCCCATTACAGCAAACAACAAACCCTTGTTCTCCCATTTAATCCCCTCTTGCTCCAGTGCTTCCCCCGTGTCTGTGGTAGCAACCTCACACATCCCATTGGCTCAGAGCCAGGGAAATAAATCCCTCTCCCCAAACCCACACACTCACTCCTGCACCACCACCATGCCTGGTCTCCAAATCACCCAAGGTCTCCTTAAAACTCCTACTTCTCCACCCCCACCCTTGCCAAAAGGCAAACTGATTGAATAAGGCTTGTGAAGTGCCACAGGTCAAGAGATTCAGGCTGGGATAAACTAATTCTGGAGTGAAGATTCCCCCCTGGAAGCTCCCAGAGCGACAGCACCTTGGCTGATTCGAGCTGGGATGGCACAAGGAGCTGTTCCAGCTAAGCCACACAGCTGTGGACAGCAAAATGATTTCCCCAGGGAACAAACATGAAGGAAAAGGAATACATGCAAGGTGAACACCAACTTCCTGAGCATCTGACCTCTGCTCATCTAAAATCAATTACCAGATAGTTGTTGTTCAAGAGGCTGCATGAGAAATAGGTTCCTAAGTGGGAAAATCGAACACCAAGTCCAAAATTTCGCTGTTTTGCTGCACAGGTTGTTTTGGGTGCTCACAGTCACCCATAGGTCACACAAATGAAGTGTTTTCCTGCTCAGTGATAAGACTGGCTACCTCTGCATGATGGGGCAGTGTGTTCAGGAAGCAGGAAATTAAATATTGAAAGACAACGTACTGTGCACACAAAACAGACTCCTGTAAAAATTCTCTCCTCTATAGATGAATTGATGGAAATGAAGAACTGACTGAAACAAAGAGTCCATAAACCCAAGAAGTTAACAAGCCCCACAATTCCCAGAGCAGAGGAGCAGAGTTTCTGCCCAGTGACCCACAGCTTAAGGGTGGCAGGAACAAATGTCACCCTAAATCACACTGTGCCATGTCACTGAGCTCACAAGGCCCTGGGGTCAGGGACAGATGGGTACCTTTGTCCACCGTGGGCAAAGGTTAACATCTTTAAATGCAGTCCATTAATTTGCCATCATCTCTGCAAGTCCAGGCTGCTGGAGCTCTCACAGGATAAACACAATCCTGCCTTCCCTGGGGACCACAGTGTCAAGTGAGCCACAGATGCTAGAGAGAGAAAATCTGATCTCCGCTGTTAAGTGGCAGGATGGATAAAACAGCAAAACGAAGCCATTGTCAAAAGCAATGTTTTCTTTTCTGCTGCTCAGGGTCTGGCTTTCTACAGGGTGGAACCCAAAATCTGTACTTGGACAATTCACCTTGTGACTCAACTCCCAAGGCTTTTCTTTTACACCCTGTAACAAGGATTTCCACTCCCTTTTTGTATTTGAAATCTTTTAGTTTTATCAAAAGCCCCTTGCAAACAGGCTGCCAGGGAAGGAGACAGAAGCTCTCCACGGACAACAAATTTGGCAGAGAAAAATAAAGCCTAGCTACCAGACAGAGCTTGTTCCAAATGCTGACAGTGGCCTTGCTGCAAGCTGAAAAGTGATTCTGTTGCCTAGTGACACGGCTCTGTAGCAGGAATTAATATTTCTGATACTAATACATCAACTATTTTGCATTTTGTGAACACACAAAGGTTATCCCAGGTAACTGTCCCAAAATAACTTTCTGAGTGCATGTCATTATTCCATAATAAATGTGAGGTCATTTGAGGCAGTTTATCACTCCACCCCAGTCATGATAAAGCCCAGGAATCTGTTATTCCAGAATAATCTGTTCATCCATCCTTACCCTATGCTAGAATCTTCTGGATGTGCAAAAGCAATTCCACAGAATTTCACAGATTTATTCCTTCTCTCACACTCAGCACAACTTGGTGCTTCTCCAGAAATCAAAGCAAATAGGAATTCTGTAGGAATTCTGCTACATCAACTCCTGCAGGTCTTGCAGAGGCCAAAAAGAGAAAAAGGAGCTTTTCCCAACTAGCAGAATGTTGGCAGCCTGACTCACGATTGCGCACTCTGACCCACTGGATCTGAACGTTTCCCAGCAACCCCCCTGGATTACCTGAGGAGAGCTGGGTGGGAAAGGGGTTCATTTCTTTGTCCACCATTTTTTGGTATAAGGCTCTCAAGCTGAATGGCTCCACAGTAAAGGGTAATGTTCCAGTCAGCATGGCATACATGTTCACCCCACTGAAAGAAAACATGCAGAAAAAGAAACCAAAGTGATCAGCAGCAAGGAAAAATGTAGGTTTTAGAGACTGTACTTCACCTTTAATGTCTGACAGTTATTACAGGGCTGATGGCCCATCTCTGACAACATTTCAGGTCAGGCTGAATGGGGCTCTGAGCCACCTGATCCAGTTGGAGATGTCCCTGCTCTTTGCAATAAACAATTATAAACTCGAGAAGTAACTCACATGGACCAAACGTCTATTTTGGGCCCGTATTTCTTCCTTGCCAGAAGTTCAGGGGCTGCATATGCTGGGCTCCCACACTGGGTGCTGAAGGGATCAGAATAACCCAAGATTCCTGCACAGTTGCTCAATCCAAAGTCTGTGAAAGGCACAGAGACACAGTTATGAAAGAGAGACACAGTCAAACTGCACTAGAGCACAAGCTAAAAAGAAAGAACATTTTTTTCCAAAAGCTAAGCAATGAACTCCCTAAGGAGAAAAAAACCCCAGCTCATCCACATGCAGAAATTTCATGTAATCTGCTTGTACGAGGTGCTAAATAACCAGAGGTTTCCACTAAACAATAAAAAGAGCCTTAGAACATACTCAATTACCACTTCATATGCAAAGCAACTACATTTCACTGGCAACTGGATGGCAACAAGCAGAGCTGAGCTTGTCCCAGGTCCTGAGCCACCCCAGGCTGCTGTGCCTTCCACACTGCTGCAGGATTTTATACAGGGGACAAGGCTAAGTGGGATTTCATCAACATTCCCTCTAAATCCAAGAGTAAATGAACCATGGGATGCAAAACGGGGTGTTGCTGTCTGGGGCTGCACAAACACTGAGGGTTCAGCTCTGGAACAACACATGGAGGTCCTGGAGCAAGAAGGGGAAATGAAGAGTCTTGACTTGGCTGCTCTCTCCCTGACTTCTGCCTTGAATTCTTGTATTCCTGGCCCTTGGGTGTACCTGGCACACTTTTGTGGCAATAATAATGAGGGACTGGCTAAGGCTGGCACTGGAGACAGGAGGGAGCCCCTCAGCAGGAAGGACTGCCCTTTCCCAAGTGCTCTCAGGCAGCCCAAGGGTGCTCCCAAAATTTCCCTCCTGTCTGCTCCAGCACTGGAGCGTCTGCAGGCTTTGATGGGTTTAGGGAACAACAAATCCCATTTATTAAGAGTTGGACTGTTGATCCTTGCGGGTTCTCTCCAACTCAGAATATTCAGTGAAACCACCACTATTAAGAACATTGACACTTGATTAATTCCTCAATGTCCTCTCTCACTCATTAATTTGTGGCTCTTTTCCTTACCTGCACACTTATTTGCACTGGACTTGCAGTGCTGGCTTGTCCTTAAGCTTTCACCCCACTGAAAATCAAATTTGGCTGAAATGTGAGGAGCTCCTCAAGGTATTGGAAGCAACCTGACAGGGCAAACACATAAGCCTCATTTCCTCACTAAACTAGGCAAAGATATAAAAATGCTTACCAAAAAAATGTGATTATCACAGTGACTGGAAGAGCCCAAGTGCCTAAAGGGTGGCAACAGGGCTTTCCACTCGACTGGCTGCACCTCTGAGGGACAGGCAGGCACAGGGGGGACAGGAATCACCACCTTTCACAGCTAAAGAGGCTCACTGGGGTTTTCCTGGAGAACACTGTCAAAACTGAAGGGAGAATTGTGGTGATTTCCTTGCCTCTGATGGAAAACAATTATCTCTGGACACTGCTTAATCATCCTTGCTAGAGATGTACCATCCCTGAGGCTTTTACAAATACTGCAGAGGATCCATTAACTTCATTCATGTGCTCATTAGCTGTGGCCCGAGATGAGTTCTGTCAACTGCAGAATACTTTTAAAAACCCCTGGAAATAATCTCTCCACACAGTATTATTCCTGGTCCTTACCCCGCTGTGTCATGCCAGCTCCAAATCCCTTGACTGTTCCGTAATGTTCTACAGTCACAGGATACAAGGGCTGTATTCTGTGATGGTGTCAATCAGCAGCCCTTCATCAGTATCAATGGGGGGATATTCTATCAGAGGTTTTCACTCTCTCATTTGCTTCAGTTGTCAAGCCCTTATTCACTTTCTTCAGCTCATTCATTTCAGCTGCTACGCCTTTTTTTTCCCTGTTGAAATGCAGAATGTGTGCAAACAGATGCACACTGGGGACAGGGATCTCATAGCCATGGAAATGAGAATATTGCTATTAACACAGTGTCAGCACATCGTGATCACAGTGGGATTTTTATTATTTTTATTATTTTTAAGGATGCCGTGCTGATCTTGATGAAGACAGTGCAACCACCAGCGCTGATAACCTCACTGCCACTGCCCGCCTCTCCCTTTCAAACAGCCCAGCAAATTACAGAACTCAGATCAAAGGCCACACTTGATTTCCCAAAGTAAATATTTTCACATGGGAGCTCCACCACCCCCACGACTCGTGCTATGGAATCACCATCGCATCGCTCCGCTCCTCCTCGACGCCTCCAGGGAATCCACATCCAGCTAGGGATGCTCGGCTATCCCTGGAGCCCTGCCAGTCAGCACAGGGAAAGAGCTGTTAAACACAAGCTCCTGGACAAGCTGGACCAGCAGAGCTCCACAGAGCTCAGCAGAGTTGGGTGTCCCAGCAGGATGCCAAGAGCTCTGTGTGTGGCTTTTTCCAGGCGTCTTTATCAGACTCCAACCACATGGGCTGGTAGATAACAAGGAGTGAATTACTTCCAACTGTCCCAATCCTGATGTTCTTCAATTTGATTAAGAGAGTGCTAAGAATAAGTCCTCTCAAAGGGACTTCTTCCCAAGAAGAATATCTAAGAGCAGCCTCTAAACCACCTTGTCCTGTAGCCAAAAGGAGGAACAAATCCAAGGTGCCCTTGAGCAGCTGAAGGCTCAAGACATCCAGGCCTCACTGAAATGCATCAACAAGCAGTGGCTTCAATATCATATTTTCAATCTTCCTTTCACCTTTTGCTCTCCCTTTCACAGCTATTACAAGAGCAACGTTTTTATTTTTATTTGCTACTCCTGGGTTTACTGCTGTACAAATCATGGAGACCAAGCTCTCAACCCACAGCAGGTAACATGAGCCAGTTTTGTAGCTCAAAGCCTCTTCTCCCAGTCATGAAAAGCAGCACTTCAATTCCTCAAAACATGTTCCTGAGTCCTGAAGAACCTTCCTGGGAAGGACTATGTGATGACACAACCGATCATTCCTAGTAGGGCAGGCTACACAAAATTTTGCAACCTTTCTTTTGCTACAACACCCCCAGCTGGGTGGTGGGATTTAATGGCTTTGTTTCAGCGTGCACACTGCCTGCAATGTGCTCTGCTTAAACATCAGGCTGCAGACCTGAGGACAATTTACTGAGGCTGTGGAAGATCAAACTTGCCTCTTTTCTGTGTTCTTCCCATACCACCCACTGCGAGGAGACCTTTCCATGCAGCCCAAGCAAACAGAACTGCAGGAAAAGGCCTGGAGTAGTTTTTTTGGCACGTGAGTTTTAACTGTACATGGATCATCTGGGAAGGTCTTGGTTGGGATGTCAAGTTCACGTGGTGCTGTGTAACCAAACCCCCAAGAACAGGGAAGCTCTGTGAGTTCTTTAAATCCATCAGATGTTCGCAGAGCGCGGTGCAGGCCATCTGGTCCCGTTTATCTGCTCAATCAGGACATGGGTGGCATCCACCAGTACTGAGGGATGATTCATGGTCACTTATCAGTACCCTCCTGACCCTCAGCCGAGGTAAGGCAGAGTTCTCTTGGCTATTATTTTCCCAGCTGCCTGATTTGCTACAGAGTAATCACTGCAAGTCGGGGTAGCATTTCCAAAAGTGAATTCCCCGAGTCAAACCTGGCTATTTCAGAGCTCATGAATCATCCTCCCCTTGTTTGCTGGGAGATGTACGGACTTCATACGTCACAGTGAGCGCCCATCTGACCTGGGTGTTTGAATGTTAAGTGTTTTTCACCACTTCTCAGCCCGTGAAACTTTCTGAAGAGAATCAGTTGAGCTTTTAAGTCTGCAGCCACAGACACTGCTGTTGGCAAAAGTGTAGGCATGGAAAGAAATACAAACAGATGTTTGGCATTTATTTTATGAAAGGAATATTTTCTTTTCAATGCCCACATTAGCATTAATGGGAGTTATGCAAGGCAGTGAGAGACTGTCCTCACCAGTGATTAATCCAAATGCCTGCACAGCTTGAATGAATCAAGCACCACGTACAACTGATACCTAAATACAATCAAGGCTCTACCGTTGATCTTTTTTATTCTTTAACAGCCCTCTAAACCAATTTTGTCCCGGGTGCTGGAAGCAAATTTAACAAATATAAATATAGGACCACATTTTGCCAGCTGCTAAAAATGTGTGCAACTCCCACTGACTTCAGTAGAGGCATATGTTCACGGGGGCAGAATCCAGCCCCTAGCAAATAAGAAATGATCATGATAATGAAATAAACCACCGCTTCTGTGGTGTCAATTCTTAAATTCTTTACCAAGCTCCCGATTTGAATGTGAAAGATGTGGGTTTAAGATGTAGGATTATTCCCATACCCAGTTAAATCTGAATTATTTGGATCGTTTTTTTTCACAAAATGCTTTCAGGAACAGCTTGATTGCTATCTATACTCTCTCAGCTCCTCTCTGCAGCAACATTAGCAGTTGTCACATGGAGGATTATGAAGCCTCAAAAACTCTCTTTATAAAACTAACAATTTCAATTACTGGAATTGCCAAACTGGTTTCTTACCAATAAGCTTGATATTGTTGTCTTCATCTAGCAGCAGATTTTCTATCTTCAAGTCTCTGAAAGAAAGAAAATATTTTGAGTGAGTCTCCAAAATAATGAAGCAGCTTTGCTTCAGTCTCATCAGTGCCTGTACAAGACTTGTATATAATCAAATGTATACTGAAAGCAGCACACCCAGTTCCACAGTGAAAGCAGAAAGCCCCATGCATCCTGCCCAAAATTAACAGTGCTTTCACACTCTGCTTCCCACCTATTCTTCAGGCACAAAATGATATTACAAGCACTTGTCAGTACATCCTGTAATTAACCAGGCTCATTAAGTTTCTTCAGTACTGCAAGTTTACAGAAAACTTACAAAGTGGAAACATTTTAAGTTGGACACCCAGAAAATCACCCCCAAACCCCAAGCTGTGCCCACTGGGCATTAAGTACAATGTGAAAAAAACCCTATTTTGCTCTCTACACGACTGGTCCACGACTCCTAGCAGTTGACTAAGTCTTCACCACATGGATTTTTCCCCCCCATCCAGACAGGGAATATTTGTAACAATCAGCACACTGGGATATCCACGGCTCGGAGGGGCAGCAGTGCCTCTCCCAGCACGCTTTGGAAAAATTTAATAATAAATAATAAATGATGGATAATAAAGCCATCAGCTCTAATTGTGGGAATTCAGTGACATCCACAGTATTTTGCCTCTGTAAGGCAAAGGCAGTGATGAAAGACACCTCCATTACAGATGAAGATATCAGGCTTAATTAAATAAGACAGGTAACCTGACCGAGCCAAGCATTTCCACAAGGAGGGAGCTGTGAGAGAAAGACTCCAAGCCTTTTTCAAAATGCTCCTCTTCATTTCACTTCATGTCCCAACAAACCTGAGACAGAAGGCAGGATAACCCTCACTTCATCAGTAAGACCACAAGGACCTACCTAGGAGGGATTTTCTGCATCAAGAGCAGGGTGGGCAGGTGAAGGGGGGATTCTGCCCCCACCTGCAGAGCTGCCTCCAGCCCTGGGGCCAACAGCAGGATGTGGAGCTGCTGGAGCCAGTCCAAAGGGGGAATGGCTTCAAAGTGATGAGATAATGGGTTTAGATGGGATACTGGGAAGGAATTCCTGGCTGTGAGGGAGGTGAGGCCCTGGCACAGGTGCCCAGAGCAGCTGTGGCTGCCCCTGGATCCCTGGATCCCAAGGCCAGGTTGGCCAGGGCTTGGAGCAGCCTGGGACAGTGGGAGGTGTCCCTGCCATGGCAGGGGTGGCACTGGATGGGATTTAAGGTCCCTTCCCACCCAAAGCCCTCCAGGACTCTATGATTACATTCCCTGCTCTGGCAGTATCCCAGGGGTCCCTGCACATCCTCCAAAAGGCATTTCCCTCATAGAGCAACCAGTGCAGCTGAGAAAGGGCTCGATCCAGGGACAATCTGCCCTGCCAGATGGATCGGGATCAACCCACTCCTGCTTCCCTCTGCTGCCAAAAAGGGGCTCAGTGCTTCACCTCTGGCATCTTTATTGCTTGCAGGTGGAGGTTTTCACAGGCTGTGTGATTGGTCTCCAGGAAAGCATCAGGACTGGGAACTTAATGGGAGAGACTTAAAAAAACCCCCCAAAAAACCCCAACAACTTTAAAACCCCAACAGTCTGGGAAAGACAGAAAAATACAAAACAAGCCCCCCACTATCACCTCCAAAACCCCCAATTAAACTGAAATCAACAGAAGCACTGCAATGCTTAGTACAGCACCTCAAAGCAAAGAAAAAGACACTGAGTATAAAGAAATATTAGCTAAGAAGAGGCAAGACTTTAAAGGCAAGGAAAGGGAAAAAAATGCAAGCTATAAGTTAAGGAGAAAAAACATCCAGGCAATCAGAGTAACAAATGAGTGACAGAGGGGCTAACCATGAACATCAGAAAATATATTTTAAAGGATTCAAAGTAAAAAAAAAAAATCAAAAAAAATAAACAAAAGGTAAATATTACAGGGCATCTTAAAGCCATCAGAGGAAAAAGATAGAAATGTAAATATTGCCTCAGTATAGAGTGCAGTCAGACCTGGTAAAAGCTGTTTACCCATCTGTCTGTTCTCAGCAGATTTGCCAGTGAGTGGTAACTGATCTAATGGTCCATATGCACCACAGTTTTTGTCCACCCCAACAGGAAAACACTGATTTTTGGAGCAATACCAGGAGCCAGGACAACAGGCTTTCCCACATTTCTCTTTGTGGTGGTACAACCCAGCTGCACACCTGCTTTAGGACACACTGCCATGAGCATCCTAAATGCTTTATTAACTCAGCTGTGCCCAAGACAAACTTCAAGTATCTTTCACAAAAAGGTTTATCTGAGCCGCTCCTAAGACTTGACCAACTCTCACTGAGTGCCTTACTCACCTTTAATGTTCCAAAGCCTTTATCACACAGTGCATGAAATGCAGGCCTCCAAACGCTTTTGGGGGCAATGGTGTTTCTTTCTCCACTGCAACAAAGCTCTGGACACTTTTAGTTTCCCTCCCTGAAGTAAATCTGATCTCGTGCCTTTACCGTCACGGCTCCTCAACAACAACCATGACTAAAGGATTATTGATGGGTTTTCCCCCATAAGCAAATTCTCAGCATTCATTGCTGAAAAACTTAAAAGATACTCCCAGGCATAAGGAACAAGAAGTGCAACCTTTGCCTAAGGGATCAGTTCCCTGATGCTGAGAGTGTCTAACTATGGGACAAGGCAGTCAGACCTGGGAATAATGAAGTCATGCTAGGAAGGCCAAGCTGCATTCCCACAGCGTGGAGAACCAGCAGATATTTCTGTCTTCTCAGCTTGTGGAGCTGGCAGCACACAGTTGGCATTCCCTGGATCTGAAAATACACCAGCTTTAAGGGCTAAGTTTCTCTGAGAGTTTGTCCTGCTGTCAGTGGGGCTGATTTCTTTCTTTGGAGCACTCTGGAAACCCCACGTGCAGCCAGTGCCTCCAGGGAGGAACACAATGAATCCCTGGAGCAAGTGACCCCATCAGCTGCTCCCACAGCAGTTTGTTCCATGCCATGGCAGGCAGCAGGCTGCAAAAGGGAAGTTTTGCATTTCACACTTTATTTCTTGTCTGGGGGAGGAAGGATGAGAAAGAAGGTTTTACCAGCAAGCAGCTGCACAGCAGCAGTGGTTGGCTGCTCTCTCCTGAATCTTATTTTTAATCTGAACAGCACCACAGAAAATCACTCCTTAACTGTCAACCCTCAAGGCCACTTTTGAGCCTTGTGCAAGAGCTGGAAAGGTTGCAGAGATTTGGGTTCATCGCCACATTTATGTACAATATACATTTCAAAGGCTTTGATATCAAAATGTTATTGAGCCCAATTCTTCTGTCAGTAACAACGTCACTGGATTCCACATGGCTGCCTCTGCAAAAGGGGAATCTGGTCCATTGTCTTCAGTAAAATGATGTTCAGTTTGTTTACACCAGAGCACTCCAAGAGAGAATGCCCAGGGGTAATTCTAAAATCTGAAATAAACCAGAGAGATGAACCACCGCCGCACTCCAAAAGGAGAATTTGTTCTGTAGAGCAGGATCTGTGATAAATATTGCATCAGCAGCCAGACTACTGGCACTTGAAATTAATAGGCTGGAAGTTATCAAAGCCAACATATCCAACAGAGGTACCAAATGAGGAATCCTGTGGCACTCTGGATCGTGTGGCACCACCAGCTCTGCCCAGAATGCCGGGGTTTTCCACCTCTTTCAAACTCCTGACCTGCTTCCAATCACCAAATGGCAGTGGAAGGTAGGAATCTGCTGCCATGAGGGTAGAAAAAGGGGAATACAGCAAGCCATCTTTGCTACCAATACACTATTCAATTCTTTTCTTTGACAACCTGACAGTAATTGCATTGAATGGGATTGAATTTTGTTAAAATGACTTAAAAAGGGTTGTTGAGAATTTCCTGTGGGATGCAGTGGCAAGCACCAAGGCTTTCACTTCATTTTCCCTGCTGTCCTTGTGCTCCCAGAGGGCTTATTGCTCATTCTGCTTTTTGACAGCATGAGGACCTGTGTAAACACCAAGAGAAAGCTTCACCAGATTCTGCCATTTGGTTCTGTTTTCCTCTGTCAGAGGAAAAGATAAATATTCCTACCTGATTCACAGCTGAGCTTGTTGCAAGTATATTTTTAGCAGCAACCAACCAGCTCCCCTGATAGAGGGAAAGAAACCCAAATGATAACATGAAATTATATATAGAATAGTGGCATTTTGCTTTCAGCGAGCAGCCAAGGAGCTCTGAACCCTGGGCACCCCTCACCAAAGATGCAGCAGCTTCTGCACTCTGGAACTTGCAGACTTCATCTCAGCAGATGACATATTTAGAATTTTTAAATACATCTACCCGATCCAACGTGAGTTTGGGGGTATTTTTACACCTCTAAATAAAAATGAGGTTTCTTGAAGTTGCTTTATTTTAGGCTGTTCACACATCAGCGCCTCTTAACAAAAGCATTTCCACTGAGTTCTGGGTCCCTGCTCCAAAGACCAGTGATGTGAGTACTTTTCTGCCATGCCAAGTCTGGATTGAAAGCCATGCAGCAGCTTTCTGAGTAATACCAAATAACATAAGCAAATTTCACACAACTTATTCCACCTGGGGTTTTTCATCCCAAGCAGAACAGGGGTAAGCCATCTAGATTATTCCCCAAATAACGCAGCCAAAAGCTGTGATTTTTTGTTTGTTTGTTTGCAATAAAACAGCCAACAAAGAGCTTTTCAGGGCCCTGCCCCATTCCATGGGAAGCATTTGGAGATACAAACAGCAGCCCCTTTTCTGGCTGGGGATGCTGCAGTTTGTTCCACACGTGGCAAACTCCAACTCCCCCGGATCACCACGCACATGAAAGTGCTGGTATTTTTACCTGCTGCAAAAATAACAACAACAACAGAACATTGCCATTGCAGCCAGGCAGAGAATGAATCAGACTCCTGCACTATTTTCTCCCTCCCTCAGCAGCTGATTGAATAGCCTGTTTTTAGAGCTGCCACAGTCAGAGGCCCGAGATGCTGAAGGACAACTCCTGAGGTAATTGTTAATTTTTCTCCCTCGCTTGCTCAGATTGAGGCAGGAGAATAAATCCAGATCATACCACCAGCATCTCCACGCTGCTCTATGCTCTTTGCTTGCAGGAGAAGGCAAGGCATCCAATGGGTTAAGGGAGAGAAAATACTTGCAGATATGCTGCCCGTGATTCTGTCAAGTTTTATCAGTTCAGGCAGAATCAGACCTGCTCATTCACTGTGTGGAAGCCTCCCAAGAAGCAGCTCAGCGCTGCACAGTGATGTGAGAAGCAGGGTGGATGGAGGAGGCTGCCTGTGGGGTGGGGATTAATTCTGCACCACGGGGCTGGACAGACAGAACTCAGCTGCCAGAGGCAGCCCAGCACTGGCACACTGCTCCCAGGGCTGCTGCCTCCTCCCACAGCCTCTGCAGCTGTGCTAGGGTCACAGAGGCAGCAGAGAGGGAGGGGGGAGAGCCAGACCTGCAGCATCCACATGGGAACTCAGCATCCACACAGAAACTCAGCATCTATACAGAAACAGCATCCACACAGAAACTCCTCAGCATCCACACAGAAACTCCTCAGCATCCACACAGAAACTCAAGCCTTGCCTCCTTCTCACCACAACAGCCTGTTGATTCCAGCTGGTGCTTAGGGAACGAGCTATTTTGGTACAAAATGTGGGTTTGAGTCCTTTCAGAAAAAGGATGGAATCGAAGTCAAGCCTGGCAGCCCCCTGTAAGTGCCTTGGCCACTGTGCAGAAGGTAAATTTTTGGGGGAGAGGAATTGCTGGTGCTGACCCAATCCTGCTGTTAAAAGCTAAACATGTCCATCTGTTCCTGCCTTGTTTTCCTCTGCCCATCTCAGAAACTTGATTTATTTCCTTTATCTCTCCCTCTCTCTAAACACTGGGTATCAACTGATGCCTGAAAACAGTAAGGAAACTTCTTCCTTGTCCCTGCCTCAAGCTGTGGGGTTAAAAATGTAAAGAGATCAGCAGTTTTGAGGCTGGTAGGGAACCGTGGTACCAGAAATGTAGCTGGAAGTGAGACCAGAGGTGGCCTGTGCACATAGCAGTTATCCCCCACGGACCACAGGGAACACACAGAGACCCAAGACAAAAGTGGCTGCACCCCCGCTGCACAGCTCAGCACACAGCTGGGCACAGCTGTCTGTGGGCAGCTCCCACCTCCTGCACGCTCAGTGGAGCTGAGGAGATGCAGAACCAGATCCTGCAAAGCCTTGGGATGTCTGGCTCCCGCAGCGTGCCCACAGAACCCAGGAGGACGGGGCCTACACAACTCGCTCGGCATCACACGGGAACTGCGTGGGAGCCCAGACTTCACACCAGCTGGCCCAGATTTAGAAAGCAGAGCCTCCTTCTTAGCACAACGCCCTATAAATACACCTAGGAACAGGAGAGGAGAGATGCTGGCTCCAAAGGTCCAGCCAGCCCACCATCCTCCTGTCTCCATAGCAGCCGAGAGCACAGGAGTGGAGAAAGGTACAGGGACAGGCAGTCACGTGTGACACCGCCACCTGCACTCTCCCACTTGCTGCTCAGGGGCTTCAGGCAGAGGCAGCTACTCTTTATTCAGCAGCCTCCTCTCTGCTGAGCTTGTCCTGTTTCCCTGGAGCCCAGGTGAACTCCTAACTCCACAGCATCCTCGTGCCAGGAGAGGCGCATCCCACTCACACACAGAGCTCAAGGAGTGGCTGGAAAATGCTCCCAGGCACAGGGTGGGATTTTTGGGGCGTCCTGTGCAGGACCAGGAGTTGGGCTGGGTGGTCCCTGTGGGTGCCTGTGAGTCAGTGGATGAAAGTCCTGGAGAAATGAGGTGATGCACTGCAGCAGCTCTGGCTCTCTCCGTGCCGTGAGGCCCCGCCGAGGTGATGCGACAAACAACAGGCACAGCCTCCTTCTCAAAGAAACAGCAAAATGATTCACTGGCTCACCTTGGGGCAGAGCAGTGCTTGCAGTGAAAGGGCCCTACTTTTGGACTCTACCTTATCTTTACTGTCACAGACCCACAGAATATCCTGAGCTGGAGGAGATCCACAAGGTTCATCGAGCCCAGCTCCTGGCTGTGGAGTCAGCACAGCTCCTGTGTGCTCACCTGAAGCTGCTTAAGTGCTTTCTGCAGGTGCAGCTCAAGACAGGAGCATTCAAACAACACCACAACGAGGAGCCAGAAAGCTCTCAGGAACACACTATCACAAGGAAATCTCCTTACAATACAAACAAACCCCACTTAGAGGAGCTGACACAAACTTTACAAACAACACAAAATTACCTGTGCACGACTCCCGCCCGGTGAAGGTGCTCCACTGCCAGGATGAGCTGCCGGATGTATTTGCGGGCTTCATGCTCCTCCAGCCTCTTCTTCTCATAGATCTTGTGCATCAGGTTGCCACCAGGGCACAGCTCCATGACCAGGTAGTAGCTGTTCTCGGTTTCCAGTATATCCAGCAGCTGGGCAATATTGGGGTGGCGGATCATTTGCTGGATCTGTCCTTCCCGCCGCAGGTTCTTGGTGACATAGGTGTCCTTTTTGGCTCTTTTCTTGTCAATCACTTTCACTGCCACCTAAGGAGACAACAGGAGAGGCTAGCTGTCACATGGATGATTTTGTTGCTCTAAATGTTTTAAAAACAGCCATTAAGAAAACCAGAAGTCACAAGGATGTCCCTCTCAGCTGGCACACCGTGGCTTCAGGTCAGAGAAAGAGTTGCTTTTCCAACCCCACTGACTCATCCATCCTTCACTTCCTTCTACAATGCCAGTCAAAAATTACTGCAAGGAAATCAGTAACAAAGGAGAGGAGACAATCCGACTAACCACCCACAAACACTTGACATGCTTAACGCTGGGCATTTACTGCTGTTGTTTACTCAGAAAGCCTCCAGGCTGGTGTTTACAACTTTTAAGTGTCATTTTTGGCTTTTCCTGGCTTTGAATACACAACTGGAGATGATATCCTTTCATTACGATTTTCTTAAACTATAGTCAAGTGTTGGCTTTGCATGATTTGCATATAAAACATACTATGAAAAACAAAACCATTTTGGTACCGCTCTCCCAGCACATTTCCTGCTTTTTCTCTCTTGTGGGAGCTGGAGAGGGACTTGGGAAAAGGGCTTGGAGGAACAGGGCAAGGGGAATGGCTTCCCACTGCTAGAGGGCAGGGTTAGATGGGATATTGGGAAGGAATTCCTGGCTGTGAGGATGCTGAGGCTCTGGCACAGGGTGCTCAGAGCAGATGTGACTGCCCCTGGATCCCTGGAAATGTTCAGGCTTCCCAGTCATCCTCCCCTTTCACATGAATGCCTTGGAATTGAAGGATAAAACTGCAGGAACTGGGGCTTCCTGGTGTGTGCTGAGAGCCAGGAGCCAATATTGCTGAGTGTGTTATTGGCTGATTGTGTTCCTGCAGTGGAAAGATCACTGTGATGGCACAGCCCTGATAAAGAGCTGAGACACCAGAGCTGCCTGGGTGAACTCGGAGCAGCATCAGGACCTGGGAGCTGCACCCCTGACTACTCGCATTAAAGAGACATCATTTAGTCATCAGATAAAACAACAGGTAAATCAGAGCTTAATTTCACCATTTCTGAAAGCCTCAGGTGGTTCACCAAGGAAACGGACTTAAATTAGTTCATTCTTTCATCTAATGAGGTGGAACTGAGCACAGAGGCTTGCACAGGGTATTTAGACAGCAAACCACAGGAGTTACTCTGGTGAGGACAAGCAAATTCACAGGTTACAGAAACATGAGATACCATATTGTACATTGGCAGCACAACACAATCTCTGCCAAAGTTTAAAAAATAAAATAAAATTAAATGAAAAGCTGGCATTTATCACAGCTGCAAGGTACAAAACACGGTGTGGTAACAGCATGAAGCAGCAATCTATTATGCATCTTGGTAAGTCACCCCTAACTCACTGACAGTAAAAAGCACATTATACACGTCCACATGTGCTGCCCAGCCTGAGCTCAGCTGTGGAGGTGGAGCAGCCCCCTGACCCCAGAGGACAGAGCCAACCATGTGACTACTGGAGGACTTTTCCACTATCACCAAAAATTAGCTTTCTATGCCTTAAGGACAAACTTTCCCCTCCATTTTGACAGGAGCCTCGTCAGGCACCCCACCAATCCCAGCAGACAAGCAAAGCAGCGTTGGGATTCAGCCCAGCTCTGAGCCCAGCTCTTCAAGAGCCCTTTGAGAGATCCCCCTGCACAGCTGACAGAGCTGACCAAGGTGGAAACAGCAGATTTGTTCCAGTAACACCCTGTTCTAGGGATCAAACTCTGCATGCAGCTAGCCCAGGGCTGACTTAGCTCAATATCCCCGATTCTGAGTTCATCCAGAGGTAGACAAGGCAAGTGAAGACCAAATGTGCCCAGACACACTTAACCCACAGAGCCTCCTGTGCAACGTAGATGTGCGTGCACGCACCTGGAAATTTCATTCATGCAGAAGGAAAAAGCGTTCAGTGGAGAAAATACTGCAGACGTTGGGTAATCATCAAACAAACACATTGGAGCTTTCACAGCCTACTCAAGACATGCCAATTACTCAGCTTTGCTCTCTCCCAAGCTTCAAGTAGGGGCTCTTTGTTTCTGCATCATGCCTATCTCCTGACTTGAGTTCCTGGCCAATGCTGGCACAGAAGTAAAAAAAAAAAATAATAAACGATAAAGCAAGCAATTACTCTCAATATGTAGCAACAGTGGCTCTTGACATTCTGCTTTTGGCTAAACCTCTGCTGTGTAAACAGATAAATGGTTCAGGTTATTCTGTGTTATGAGATACAAAGATGAGTAATAGCCCATATTTTTGGTTCCCGAGTCCTAGAATTACACCGTTGGAATGAATTACTTTCCTGAAGGTTACGCTGTGACACATCAGATGAGCAATCGCTGCTCCCCTCCATCGCTGCACTAATGCGAGTTGGGCTAGAGCAGCGCAGGTGAGGGCAGGGCCAGCACCTCTGCGCTGCTCTGTGCAGCGAGGAGAGGCTGCAGCAGGCAGCAGCAGAATGCCCAGCACGGGCACGTGTCCTCACCCAAACAGCGGCACGTGTCCCGCACACACGGGCGCTGGGGACCGCTGCCAGCTCCTGCTCCGCGAGGGCTCGTGAGTCTCAGGGAGAGAGAGGCGGGGGAGGCTGAAGCTGACTGGCACCAAACTGCACAAAAACAGTCGCAGAAAGGCCCCCAGGAAAAAAATAAACCTGAGAAGAAGCAGTTTAAAGGGCCAAGCGTTGCCTGGAGAAATCTGGGAGCCAGAGCTGCTGCCATGTTTTGCATCCCCTTTGTAAGCAGTCTGGAAGTGCCACGAGGCAGGGAAGGGGGTCCCACTCATCCTAGGAATGCCCCCATCCCTGTGTCCGTGCAGGAGGCACCAGCTCCCGTTGGGCAGCTTCCCAGACCTGCCAACATCCCAACGAGGTTCTGCTGCTCCGGGCAGGAGGAACCTCCAGGTGCTCGGCGAGCACAAGTCCAAGTGTCCTGGGGTGACTTGGGTCACCCTCATCCCTCCTGCCACCTATTTAAAACCTTGCCAGGGACACTTGGAAAAAGCCCAGCTCGGGAAGTCGTGCTTCTGCAGGCATTTGCTTGCCCAGAGGTCAGTTTAGCTGGCGGCCTGGCTGCTCTGCAGCAGTGCTGCTTCGCTCAAGTCTTCGAGAAGCCAAAGTCAAGAGGTCCTGAAGGATGCCCAGCTCGGCTGCCTGCAGTAACAGCTCCAGGAACACTTGCACTGCAGTGGCCCCAGCTCTGCAAATAATGTTCTAACATGTTTAACTTTGCAGAGAACAGGGGACGGCATGTGACCTTGCAAAATCGGGGTGTGACATTTTGAGGGCTTTTTGAAGAGGTTTCCCCACTTACCCGACCACTTGGATTGTTTCCTTCTGCAAATTCCCAGCCTAAGAGGGAGGCAGTTCCTGCTGGCTGCTGCCAAAGGGAGCTTCAGCTGAATTGAGAGGAAACTGGTTTGAAAAGGAATCCAGCAAGAACTCTGTGGGATTTGGCCAGGAGACCAAGAGAGCACAAGAAAAGCAATTCCAACTATCGGCAGGACTATTTCACTGTTGGAGGGACAACCCCCTGCCTTTCTCCTCTTTTTTTCCTCTTCTTCTTTCTTTTTTTTTCCCCAGAGTCTACTCCTGGCAGACCTGCCTGCCGTGGTGCCAAGCCAGGCAGCAGCACTCACACCCAGCACCATCCTGGAGCATCCTGACCGTGCCAGTGCAGCTCAGAGCTGCAGCTCGGGGCAAAGAGAAGGCCTGAGACTTGGACTTCTGCACCCAAATCAAAAACCTTTTCTGTCCAGCTTCAGCTTAGCCAGGAGAATGAGACAAAGAGCCAGACCATGGCGATGTTTTGCAGCCATCGGTACTGCAAGTCCATCTCCAGCTTTTTTCTTTCTGCTGTGCCCAAGGCAGCAATAAATTCAGTTTCTTTCCTCCCTTATTTCCAGCGATAGCTGTCTGGCTTCACTTGCAGCTTGCTTTGTATTTACCACTGTTCTCACCACAAAAATCTGAGCTCCGTTTTCAAAACCAGCTGGTGATTTTGGGTGGCCAACTCAAATCATATTAGACAGACCTAACTCTGAAGCCTGCACAATTGTCAGCGCAGTCCCAAAATCAACCCTTCAATGCCTTCGAGGGCATCTCATTTTGGGCAATCGCCCAGCCAGGCACAGAACAAGTTGTTCATCACAACCAAATCCAAGGATCAGAAAATGCCAATTTCATTCTCTGGGTAGAGTTTATTTTTTTATCTGACTGTTACAGCTTAGCAAATTTGACAGTGCAGTAAAGGAAGGTTGGTTTTTATAGGGCAAGTACCAGTATCCTAAGAAATAAAGCACTAAAGGAAAGGGTATTTCAGCATTTCCTCTAATTGCAGTAAAATCAGCAATCAAAAAAGGTAGAGAGGAGTCACTGCTGCAAAGGTATTTTCTTTTCTTCTGAGTCTGGCAGCATAAGCCAAGAGTTTGGGGTGCAGCAATACACAAACCCAGCTGCTGCAGAGGAGCCCAGGATAAATGTCCCAGCAGGCAGGAGGCCACTGGCTCTGCTGGCAGCCAGACACAGCCAGAAAGGCTTGAAATCAGCCCCTGAAGAAACATCAGCTCTTCCAGACAAGCCCTGAGTACATTCACTCATGCACTTTGGATTCCTGCTAGCCTGAAGGGGAAGAATCCAATGGCCAGGGGATAAAAACAACGTCCTACCGATTCCCTGCAGCCCAAACACAACAGCAGCCAGCAGCGTAGAAAGGTATTCAGGAGGACTTTAGATAAGCAAATGATCCTAAGGCCTCTTGATGCCACAGCCAACTTAAACATAATCCCTCTAAAAGCATGAGCAGGATGTATTTGGTAAAGTAAAAAAAGGTATTAATTACACCTGTGCAAGGCACTGGGGACTATTATTGGAGTGCTGTCTCCAGTTCTGGTGCCAGTAATTAAAAAATTACTTTGAAGTTTTGGAAGGAGTTCTGAAAAGAGCTTCAGAACCGTCTGAGGTCCAAGAACTGTTTGTCATAGTAACTGACTGAAGCTCA